TCTATCTATCTATCTATCATCTATCTATCTATCATCTATCATCTATCATCAGTCATGGTCAGGCTTTCTGTAGAAGTGCTATCTGGAAGATTCTGTCTCATGGACAGCTGTAATATCATCTTTTTGCATGTGTCTAATGGCATCCTACAAAGGTACTGTTGACTCAGAGGATGTGAATTTTTCCTTGGAAATTTGCTTATTTGAATGTATTTATAGAGATGGAACAACCCTAAGTTTACAGCTCAGTAAATTTTTGTGAAAAATCATCTTCCAGGTTAAAGTATAAACATATACTGTTCCTGGGAGCCCATAGGCCTCTTCCTCACTTCCCACTACTCCAAAAGGCAGGGGCAGGGTTACAAGAGGCTTCTGTGCTGTGTCTGTCTGTCTGGACTCACAACACTTCTGCCCATGTCTCATATAGTAGCAGTTTGGTCTGTGTTGTTGTCAGTGTTCTGTCATGTGAATATACCACAATTCATTTTCCCTTCCACTTATAGAAGACATTCTGTTGTCTCCAGTTTGGGACTCTTCTGCATCTATTTCTTTGGTATACAGGGACTGTTTTTATGGTGGGTGTATACCTGAGAGTAGAATTGCTGGGTCACAGGATGTACATAGATGAGCTTTAGATGATGTTGCCAAACTGTTTTCAAAAGCAGTGGCTCCAGGGTTCACTTTTCAGCAGTGAGTGAGCCCTGCTGGTTGAATATCTTACGGACACATGCCACCACCTGTCCATGTGCAGTAGAGGGGCTGGTAAGCATAGAAGGGTAGGCCCCCGAGGAGTGGGGAAAGGAATGCATTTCTGAGTCCTTGGTACTAACCCAAGCCCTTTCTCCTTATTAGGAGCAGGACTTAGAGGTCCTAAGCTTGGGATGATCTTACAGATGGATGCAAGTGGCCATGACTGTGTGTATGAAACTTGTTTAACTTAGTGTCATTCTCATGGCAGTGTCATATGGTACCAATTAGTGTGACCTCTCCTTTTCAGCTGGGGAAACTGAAGCTCAGAAAAGTGAGTAAGGTAGGTCACTGAGCTGGGAAGGGTGCTTTTTAGTATCCACTTTTAGAGTTGCTACCCAGGAAGAGCTTGGAGTGTCAATGTCAGATCAAGGAAAAGAGGAAGAATGGATGGAAGGAATGAAGGGAGGGAAGGGGGGAGGTAGAGGGAAGAGGGAGGGAGAGAGGGAGAAAGGAGGAATGGAGACATCAAGGAATATTCAACATAGGCGTCTTGAGGTGATGATGGCTCAACTAGGTGATGCCAGGTCCTGAGACTTCATATGACCTGCTAGGGAGAGCCAAGGATCCCTGGGCAAGGCTGTTATGACTGAGGATTATTGATTTGGTGTCTATAGATGGTCAACATCATCTCCATGCCACCCTTCTAGCATAAGAACAAATGGCATTTATGTGTTCTGTCTGTGTTTCAGCTCATTGTAACAGGACTGAGTACAAGGAGCTGACTTCCGGGGAGACATTTGATCAGCAAGAACTATATCAATGCACAGGGACTGTTTCTTGGGGACCTGAGCCCTATGAGGTTCATGATCATGTCAGAGAGCTACAGGTAGCCTGCACAAGGCAGTGGGGCAGAGAGGCCACAGAGCAATCACACTGACAAATGAGGAGAGTGGCTGGGAGACTGGGGCCTTAGGTTGGGGTCAAGCCCATTGTTGATCAGAGACCTCACAAGTGTGATATATGTGAGCAAATTTTTGAGAAGAGATCATATCTGAATAACCACAAGTGTGTACACAGGTAAAAAAAAAAACCCACAAATGCCATTCATAATTCTGGGGACATCTTAAACACAAACTTGTTAGAGAAGATCTCAGAAAATTCCTATTGGGAAACAACTGCATTATTGTGGTCACTGTGGGAAGACATTCAGGTATAATGCTAATCTTGCCAAACATGAGTGGCTTCACAGGGAAGAGAAACCCTTTAAGTGTGATGAATGTGGGAAAGCCTTCAGCCAGAGTTGTGAGTTCATCAGTCATCGAAGGATGTATTCTGGGGAGATCCTGTACCACTGTGAGGAGTGTGGGAAGACTTTCAGCTAGAGATCCAACCTCATGAAGCATCAAAGGATTCACACTGGGGAGAAGCCCTACAAGTGTGGAGAGTGTGGGATCACTTTAGTGCCTATTCTTCCCTTATTTATCACCAGAGAATTCACTGAACAGAAACTCTATAAATGTAATGACTGTGGGAAAGCCTTTAGTGATGGCTTAATCCTTATTCAACATCAACAGATTCATACTGTTGAGAAGCCATTTGAATGTAAAGAATGTGGTAAAGGATCCAAAGTTCTAACCTCATCCAACATCAAAGAATTCACACTGGAGAAAAGCCCTATAAATGTAATAAATGTAACAAATGTGAGAAAGCCTTCATTCAAAAAACCAAACTTGTTGAGCATCAGCAAAGCCACACTGGAGAAAAACCTTATGACTGTGGCAAAGTTTTCTAACCAAAGCACACACTTCATCCAACACCAGAGGATCTACACGAGAGAGAAGCCCTACAAGTGCAATGAGTGTGGGAAGGCCTTTCATAACAATTCCAGACTCATCCATTATCAGAGATCTCACCATGGAGAAAAGCTGTAAAAATCAGTGATTGCAAGAAAGCCTTTAGCCAGAGCCCTTACTTGTTTCAGCACTGGAGGATTGAAAAAAAGAGACAAGGCCTACAAATGCAGTGAGTGTGGGAAAGCCTTCCAGCATAGCTCTAACATATGTCCACATCAGCAGATTCACCTCCAGAGAGCCTTTTCCACATGATGGCTGGAGAGTCCATAAGAACACTTGCCTGTGAAAGACTGCATCCACCCCAGACCCCCACCCTGCTCTATTCCTGGCCTACCTTGTCTTCACAGAGTGAAAAGCATTTCTGTCTAATTAAAGAACAAAACAAAACAATAACAAAATCTTCTTTCCTTAAACCAAATGCCATGCATGTTCATTTTAGAGAAATTGAGAAAGATGAACAAAAAGAAAAAGAGAATTCATTGCTTTTGATTTAGAACATGCTTTATTTCAAATACAATGGAGAGCATTTTAGAAAAAAGTGCTCCTGAGCATAGTGGCACATATTATGGTCAGCATGAGGGAGGTTGAGGCAGGACTGATTGAAGTTCAGGAGTTCCACACAGCCCAGACAACAGTGAGTCTCTGTCTCAGGAAAAAAAAAAAAAGAACAAATGGAAGAAGAAAGGAAAGGAGGGAAGGAACTAGGAAGGAGGGAAGCACTATGAGCTTACCATTGCAACACCTTTTGCCTTCATCTTTGCTATTTCCTCAGTGCCAGAAAATTAACACTGTAGAGAATACATGGGCGCATTCTCACACATTGTAAAGAATTATGCCATTCATACTTTTCCATGTCACTTGATAGTTGAAATTGCCATTTTATTTTGGTCAGATAAACATAACAAAACTTTGATAATCACCTCTACCTCAATTCTGTTTTCAAATTATGAGAATTTCTCTATTCTAGGAACCTCATATGATTGAAATCATATACATTAGGTATAATGTTTTCAAGGTCTGATCATGTTATAGCCTGTATCAGAACTCCATTCTTGGCTAATGTGTGCAAGGCCCTGGGTATGATCCCCAGCACTATAAAAACAAACAAAACTTTCCATTTTTCATGGATGACTAACATTCTATTTTATGTATATTTTCGTTTTCATTATCTAGAAAGTTCAGTGTTACTAGATACTGGTGTTTCTACCTTTAGATTATTGTGAATAATGCTAGTAGGAATACTAGTGTACAAGTATGTGTTTGAGTCCCTACTTTAAGTACTTTCAGGTAAACAGAAGTGAAATCATTGTGTTATATAGTAATTTTTTTTTTCTTTTTGGCCTTTTTGAGACAGCGTCTCCCTGTAGCCCCAGCTGACCTGGAGCTTACTATGTAGGCCCGGCTGGCCTTGAATTCACAGAGATTTGCCTGCAGCTGCCTCTCATAAAGGCATGTGCCATGATGCCTGGCTGGGTTATATAGTAATTTAATTAACCTTTTGAGAAATGGTCAAACTTTTTCACAACAGCTACACTACTTTATGTCCAAATCAGCAAGCATTCCAGTTTTTCTATAGCCTTGCCAGTTTGTGTTACTCTGTGCCTTTAAAAAAAAATGTAATAGGCATCCTAATAGGAATGAATGAAGTGATATTTATGGTTTTGGTTTGTATTTACCTAATGGCCAATGATGCCCAGGGCTTTGGTTTGTATTTACCTAATGGCCATAATGCCCAGGGCTTTTCTTTGTTAGAAGGCCTTTGATTACTGCTATACTATTTCTAGTTATGTCTATTTAGATTGGTTTTCTTCATTAACATTGGTAGATTTTGTATTTCTGACTTTTTCATTTCATCTATTTTATCCAATATATTGTATAACTGTTTATAATATTCTTTTTTGTTATTTATTTTTTGGTCTTTTTGAGACAGGGTCTCCCTATAGCCCCAGCTGTCCTGGAACTTGCTATGTAGACCAGGCTGGCCTCGAACTCACAGAGATCTGCCTACCTGTGCCTCCTGAGTGCTAGGATTAAAGGCATGTGCCACCATGCCCAGCCTTTTATAATATTCTCTTATAATTCTTTTTATGATATAAGGTTGGCTGCAATGTCTCCGCCCCCCCCCCTTTTTTTTAAGACAGACTCTGTGTAGTCTAAGCTGGACTTGAATTTGTGATCACAGAAGTACTCCTCTCCCACTTTTACAGCCCTGGGCCCTGTGGGATGCTTCTTTTTATTGGATCAATAGGAAAGGCATATTTTTCACTTTTGGATTGGTACACATGAGCCTCTTCTAGGCTTCTATAGTAGTATTTTCCTTGTGGTCACCACTGTGTAGGAGATCTTCATGCCAAAATTACTGATCTTTCTTTATCTCCAATACTTATTCTAGTCAGTGCTATTTTATCAGAAAATGTCAGATTATAATAGTTCACAAAAATAAATTCTAGGTGGACTAAAATGAGTAGACAGATATGACAGATGAAACAAAATGGGGGCTGGAGATGTGGCTCAGTTGGCAGAATATTTGTCTAGTATGCATGAAACCTTGGCTTTTATCCTCAGCATTGTTTAAAATCAGGTGTGGTGGTACATATCTGCAATCCCAGAGAGGGAGGCAGGAGAACCAGAAGCTCAAAGTTATCTCTAGCTATGCAGTTTGAAGCCAGTTTGGGAAATATGAGACCCTGTCTCAAAAAATTTTAATCTAGTTTTAGGCTGGTGAGATGGCTTAGTGAGTAAAGAAAGGCACTGCTACCAACCCTGACAGCCTGAATTCAATCCCTGGGATCCATATGGTGGGGGAGAGAACTAAAAGTTGTCCTTTGACCTGCTAACATGTACTACGGTCTGTGTATATGTGTGTGTGTATATGCCTGTGCATGAGCACGCGCGCACGCGCGCGCACACACACACACACACACACACACACACACACAAAATCTAATAATTTTTTTCTAAAGAGAAAAATTGAAGAGTTCTAGGTATGTAATTTTTGGTAGTAATTAGGAGGGATAACAGATTTTTAAATTTATATTTGACAGTCTCAAGTGCTGGAATTACAGTTTGGGCTTCCATGCCCTGTTTTATGAGGTATTAGGTATCAAATTCAGGGCTTCATGCATGCTAGGCAAACAGTTTCTTATGTGAACCACATTCCCAAGACCCCAAAATATTTGAATATAAAGACTTCTGAATAAAAGTTTCAAAAAATCTAAAATAAGTGTGAAATGCTACTGAAAAAGTGGGAGTTAATGGCTGAGAAGGCTGTTATCAGCATGAAAGGAAATCCAAAGGTCATTGTGGTCTCTGGTATCATGTTCCTCACAGGCCAGTACCTTATTTCTGCTGCTTGCATCTCGGAAGGAGATGAGTGCCAAGAATACATAGCCAGGGAATCCTGCCTGGGAAGAAGGGTCCTAATGCTTACTTTCTGGCTCCATGAATATCTAAGCTTGCATGCTGATGGTGGATCCAAACAGTCTAACAGCAAAAGCAGGCAGAAGGATATTAAGCACACTTTGTCTAAGACGGCAGGAAATCAAGCTATAAATATTGGTTGGAATAGTTTCTCTGAAAACCTAGATATTAGGGGCTTTTACAACCAGTATACTTGTACTGTGTAACTTAAGTTGTCCTGTGTTACAATCTTTTAAAACAATGATTTCTGTATATTGAATTTAGTTGAACTCTTGTTAAAATTTTTATTATTTTATGTGCATGAGTGTATTGCCTGCATGTGTGTAAGTGCACCCATGTTGTGCACTGCCTGTGGAGGTCAGAAGAGGGTGTCAGATTCCCTGGAACTGGAGTTACAGATGGTTGTTTGCCACCATGTGAGTTCAGGGAACCAAACCCTGGTCCTTGGTGAACCTGGGTTCTCTGCAAGAGCAGCCAGCACTCTTAACTACTGAACCATCTCTCTAGTCCTTATTTGAACTCTTATTTTGATTTTGATTAGAACATAACTTAGTTTTTAGTTCTTCCACATGATTACAAACCAGAATATGAATAGTGGTGAGCTCCAAACATCAACCACTGAGACAATGTCAGCTTTGGTTTCAATCAGCTTCCATCTTAAGAACCTATGAAATGATACATAGCTGGGCGTAGTGACCCATGCCTTTAGTCCCAGCACTGGGGAGGCAGAGGCAGGCACGGATCTATGTGAGTTTGAGGCCAGCCTAGTGAGTTCCAGGCTAGCTGGGGCTACAGGGAGACCCTGTCTCAAAAAGATCAAAAAAAGGCCAGGCGTGGTGTCACATGCCTTTAATCCCAGCACTCGGGAGGCAGAAGCAGGTTGATCTCTGAGTTCAAGGCCAGCCTGGTCCATCTCAGTGAGTTTTTTCTTGTGTATTCAACTATTCCTTATCAAAAAAAAAAAAAAAAAAAAAAAAAAAAAAAAAGGAAGAAATGATACACAGTGGTTTCATTCTCCCTCTGGAATAATGTCTCAGTGATCTCAGTTCCTCTGTACAGATACCTCTTTTTGAGACATTGTCTCAGCAATGACACCTCAGTGAGCTCAGTCTGTGAATTTTACCTCAGTCTACCCCAAGAAACATGAATGATTTCATCTTGGCCCCAATGTAAAACCTTTACTACTCTCTTAAGCAACACCTTATTGATATCAGCAACCTCTTCTTTGAAGTAAAACCCAACAACTTCTACTCCTCTGGCCTTTTTAGTGAGTTCAGCTCGCTGAAGAAATCACCTCAGTGATCCTGGCTCTTCTGAATCACTGTGGTTATTTCAGTTCCTCTGAAGTGAATCTCTGTTGTCATAGTGCAGTTGCTCCCAAAAAGCACTTTAATGTCAGTTCCTTAAAGGAATAATACGTTACCTCATTTTCTTAAGTAGCACCCCTGATCTCAGCTCCTCTGTAAACTTAGTGCCTTTATGGTTCAAATATGAAATGTCACCCCTCCCCAGACAGGCTTGTGTATTGGACAACACAGCTGGTAGTGCTATTTTGGAAGGTACTAGAAAATTTAGGTGGTGGTGTTTAGTTAGAGGAAAGTAGGTCAGTGGGGAAGGGCATATGTTTTTGTCTGGTTCTCAGTAGCTTCCTTTCTCTGCTTCCTGCATACCATGCACAAAAAGGTGAAGAACCTCCTCTGTTAAATGCTCCTGTTGATACGATATTCTACCCAAATACGTGGGGTTGAGTGACTATGAACTGAACCCTCTTAAATGGAGAGTCAAAATAAGTCCTTCCTTCCTTGTTTATGTCAGGTAGTTTGTCACAGTGACACAAAAGCTAAAACATGCTGTTAAGAATCAATTTGTTGCTGGATGTGGTGGTGCATGCCTTTAGTCCCAGCACTCAGGAGGCAGAAGCGGGTAGGGCTTGGTGGAGCTCTGTGAGTTCAACACCAGCCTAGTCTCCATCGCAAATCCAGGCTAGCTGGAGCTACAGGGAGACCCTATCTCTTTTTTTTTAAAAAAAAAAAAAAAAAAAAAAAAAAAAAAAAAAAAACAACAAAAAAAACCCCAACTCCTCTCTAAAGTAACAAACATCTTAGTTAACTAAGGTTTTTCTTCAGCTTCTAGGGAATCACACCTCAATGATCTTTCTGAAGCTAATACCTCAATATAGTCAGTTCCTCTTGCCAGTCTGCACAGGGGAAAAAGATGTTTATTATTCGCAGAGGGAGAGGAAATCCTTCTCTATAAGGCAGTTAACACATTCAGGTTGTTGTTTTAAATATATTTTAGTTATTTTTATTTTATGTGTATGCATGTATTGCCTGCATGTTGGTAAGTGCACCCGTGTCGTGTAATGCCTGAGAACAGAAGAGATGGTCAGATTCCCTAGAACTGGAGTTACAGACAGTTGTTACCTGCAATGTGGGTGCTGGGATTTGAACCCAGGTCTTCTGTAAGAACAGTGTTCTTAACCGCTGAGAACTCTCTCCAGTCCCTGTTGTTTTTTGGGTCTTTTTGAGACAGGGCCTGCCAGGCTGGCCTCTATTTTATAGAGACCCACCTGTCTCTGCCTCCCAAATGCTGGGATTAAAGGTGTGCACCACCACGCTTGGCCACATTTAGTTTTTAATATGGCTTAAATTTTAAACATTTGTTTCATTTATGGCTGGTTGCTACAAAATGGCTTTGCTGTTTGGCTACTAGAGTTGTATACTTAAAACCACACAAATAATTTTGAATATAATATAAAAATTATGAACAAACCAGATTCATCACAGTATGGCAATGTATATTAGAGTCTTGAACTAGGAGTAAAACTAATAATAAAAGAATTAAGAAGGTAGTTGAGATGTCGCACCAGATAAAGGTGCCTGCCACTAAGCCTGATGACCTGAGTTTGATACCCAGAACCCACATGGTGGGAGAAGATTCCTGCAAGCTGTTCTGACTTCTGTATGCATGCTGTAGCACAATGTGTGTATACCCACCCCTTTTCCACAGAATACATTTTTAAAATATGTCTAAAAAAATTCCCCAAGTATATAGAATACTAGAGACAGTACAAAAGAGCTGAGTCCAAGAATTTCTGTAATGTTTTCCTGGAGACATTTGTAAGTGTGAAGAGGTATCACTTGGTATGGAGCACCTGTCCTATTCCTGTTCAAGACCCGTGGATCTGAGAGAGCTGCGGGTCACAAGAGCAAGTTTTGAGAAAAATACCTGTTTAAATATTTATAATTTTTGACTCGAGGTTTCCTGTAGCCCAGAGTTGGGTTTGAACTTAATATAAAGTCAAGGACAGCCTTGAGCTCCCACTCCTCCTGCCTTCACCTCCAGAATAAGTATTACAGGTGTGTATCAAACTTGTCATTTATGTGGTGCTAGGGATAGAACCCCTGGCTTAGAGCATAAGCACTTGATCAACTGAGCTACATTCCCAGCCCCTAAATTACCTACTTTTGAGTTGAATTTTACATTTATTTAGTCCAACATTCTAAATGTAAGTACAATATTAGAATGATTAATTTCATTTAGAAAAGGCATGAAGTTATCTAAGAAAAAGAACTTTGAAATGTAGTAAGTTTTATTGGGACAATAGTACTTGTGCCTCAGCTTTTTAATTGCATCAAATAAACTAATTCATGTCATGTCAAACAAAGGGAGAATTACTATATCAATATTCACTACAGTTTTAGGGTTACTCTCCAACATAACTTCAAGATGGTAAGGAAAATAAAATAGACATTCTCTGATTATTTTTTCCACAATAAGGACATGACACTGAGTTACCAAAGAAAGGTCCTGTAGAGTTATCAGAAAAACCTCCTGGGAGGAAGGCTGCCTGTGCCTTGTGAAAGTTCTGAGTGTGGGCTTTTGATGACCACGGATCACAGTTTCTTGTGTACCTTCTGGTGCTGGATCAGATGCCCATGCTGGTTGAAGGCACGTCCACACTCTCCACATTCATAGGGTTTCTCTCCTGTATGGATCCGCTGGTGCTGGATGAGTACTGAGTACTGACTGAATGCCTTGCCACAGCTGTTGCACTCATAGGGTTTCTCACCAGTGTGGGTCCTCAAATGCACGATAAGAGTTGCTTTCAGGCTGAAAGCTTTGCCACACTCTGTGCACTGAAAGGGTTTCTCACCTGTGTGAATTCTCTCATGCTGGATCAGAGATCTGCGTGCACTAAAAGCATGCCCACACTCACTGCACACATAGGGTTTCTCTCCAGTGTGGACTCTCTGGTGCTGGATCAGATGTGAGTGCTGAACAAAGGCTTTCCCACACTCATAACATGCATAGGGCTTCTCCTCAGTGTGAATCCTCTCATGGTTCATCAGGGTGGAACGGTGGCTGAAGGTCTTGCCACACTCACTGCATTCATATGGCTTTTCCCCAGTGTGCACATTGTGGTGCTGGATGAGCACAGAGCGGTCACTGAAGGCCTTGCCACACTCACTGCATGTGTAGGGCTTCTCCCCAGTGTGGACTCGCTGGTGTTGCAGCAGGGTTCTCTTCACACTGAATGTTTTCCCACACTCACTGCACCTGTGAGGCTTCTCCCCAGTGTGTACTCTCTGGTGGCTCCGCAGGACAGTGCTATGGTTGAAGGCTTTCCCACACAAGGCACACACATATGGCCTCTCCCCTGTATGGATCCGCTGGTGCTGAATGAGGTGTGAGAGCTGAGTGAATGCCTTCCCACATTCCAGACACTCGTGAGGCTTCTCTCCTGTGTGTATCTTGTGATGCTGAGCAAGGTCTGAGCTCACTCTAAAGGCTTTCCCACATTCATTACACTCATAGGGCTTCTCACCTGTATGGATCCTCCTATGCTTACTAAGGACAGAACTCTGGCTGAAGGCCTTCCCACATACACTACACACATAGGGTTTCTCACCAGTATGGATTCGCTGATGCTGAAGGAGATGAGAGCTCCGACCAAAGCACTTTCCACACTCAATGCACATATAGGGTCTCTCTCCACTAGGAGCCATCTGGTGTGGAGTGAGTGGTATGCTGGTATTTAAGACCTGAACATTATGAGGGCCAACAGGGTTTGAACCCAGGTAGAAGCTCTGCTCTGTTTTGCAATGTTCTTGATCAGTCCTTTTCAAATATGCTTCCCCTAGAATCACTGTTATTTTATCTGAACTTAATGGCTGTAAGCCTGTATTTTGGTTCTCTTCTTTGGTTTTACATTCTGAAACAACAAATCCAAAATAAAAATGTTAACCCTGCCTGGGAACGTTGGTGGTACATGCCTATAATCCCTGTACCTGAGAGGCTGAAGCAAAACTGAATTCAATGACAATCTGGGCTAGAAAGGCCTCTTAAAACAACAACAAAAACCAACCAAACAAACAAAAAAAACAACAAAGGCTGGAGAGTTGGCTCAGTTGTTAAGAGCACTGACTGCTCTTGCAGAGGACCAGAGTTCAGTTCTCAGCACCCACATGGTGGCTAACAACGTCTTAACTCCAGTCCAGGGGATCTGAAGCCCCCTTTGACTTCTGTGGGCATTGCATGACATAAGTACATAAGTACACCTACACACATGTAAGCAATACATTCATTTTATGCTGTCCTAGGGATGGAACTCAGGGTTTGGTGAATACTAGATAAGCACATTATTAAATGAGCTACTTCTCTAGTCTGGTTTAAGCCTTCAAGATTTTTTTAAACAGGCCCTGTGGCTATGTAGTGGAGGGGCAGATTCTCTCCTGTAAATTCTGGAAGGTTCTTGGGCTCTACTAGGACAGCAGGTCTCCAGCCTGAGGTGTCTGCTGGTTGTGTGGAGGTGCCATGGGCGCTGCCATGTTTGGCTGCCTGGTGGCGGGGAGGTTGGTGCAGACAGCAGCACAGCAAGTGGCAGAGGATAAATTTGTTTTCGACTTGCCTGATTATGAAAATATTAACCATGTTGTGGTTTTTATGCTGGGAACAATCCCATTTCCTGAGGGAATGGGAAGATGTGTCTACTTTTCCTATCTGGATTCAAATGGAGTGCCAGTATAGCAGCTCCTAGGATTTGTCATGAATGGGAAGCCAAGTGCCATCTTCAAAATTATCAGGTCTTAAATCTGGAGAAGGAGGTCAACACCCATTTGGAGCCGTGAATATTGTTCGAACTCCCTCTGTCACTCAGTTTGGAATTTCAGTGGAGTTATTGGACAGCCTTGGCTCAGCAGACTCCTGTCTTCAGTGCTACTGTGTCCTCAGGTGACTCCTTCACTCAGCTATGAAAACTTTCATACCTGAGGACTAGCACGGAATGCTTTCGGAAAACATAATTTGAATAAAATAATTTTTAATGGATTTTGAAAAAGAAAAGATTTTTTTAAAACAAATATTATTTCTAAAAAAGTAATACTATGTGTTTAGACTGGTTTTAATTTCTTTAAAACTGATAATCTCCCCTTCACAGGAAAACAAACAATTTGTAGGCCAAAGAAAGAATTAACCATTTGCATCAAAAAGTATCATTTCGCCGGGCGTGGTGGCGCATGCCTTTAATCCCAGCAGAGGCAGGCGGATCTCTCTCTGTGAGTTCAAGGCCAGCCTGGTCTACATAGTGAGGTCCAGGATAGCTGGGGCTATAGGGAGAACCTGTCTCAAAAAAGACCAAAAAAAAAAAAGTATTGTTTGGAGTTTCCTGGATGGGTGGTTTCTACCTGATGCCAGCAGGCCTGATTATCACTTGCTTTTGGAATGATGGCTTTAGTTATAGCTTAAAATATAGTGTAGGGAAATCTGGTTAGATATAAGATTCATGGAAGGAAAAAAAAAAGTGACTCCATCAAAATAAATTTTTAATTAGGAAAAACACTCCCTGGTGTTTTATGGGGGTTGTAGGAGTTGTGTAATGAGCTTCACAGCACCCTGGGGATTCTTGATAGGTATAATTCAAGGATTATATTGAATTAAAATTACTAAAAATGCACTCACCCCATGGACCAGACAAGCTGTTTTGCTGCATGTAGGCTGTAGAGTAGTCACATTTGAGACTGTCTGTAACAGGAAGAGAGTTGAATAGACCACAAAACATTATTCAAGAATGCAAAAATTCTTCCATTGCTGTCACATGTAACTGCAATTTGTTGAGTAAGAAACAGCAGGGAGAGGGGTTGAGCAGGTGTATATACTTATTCATACTTCGGAGCTGCCAAAACAAGGCTCTGTAGCACTCTGCTCCTTGTTGGCTAAGGCCTGATGTGGTGGCCCAGTGACAGGTGACATTTGCTTCTATGCACATCAGCATCTAGAACTTGTTTAGTAATGTCCTCTGCTGTGGCCTGTGCCACAAATTAGTCAGGTGCCTCTGTGCTCCCAGATAATCTGGTTTTTCAGCACAACTCTTAAAGGTGCCCAGTCTTCTTGAAGAGGCCTGCTTTGTGTTTTGATAGTATCTGCAAATGCTTTTTAATTTTTTTACCCCTCTCACTGTACAAAATCAGCTACACTTGTAGTTTAACCTACTCAGGAGGATGAGGCTGGAGGATCACTTGAGCTTAGCGGAAAAAAATAAAAGAAGAGAAAAGGGGTTGGGGATTTAGCTCAGTGGTAGAGTACTTGCCTAGCAAGCGCAAGGCCCTGGGTTCAGTCCTCAGCTCGGGGTGGGGGTGGGGGGACAAAAAAAAGAAAAGGAAAAAAAAAGTTCTGTGCAAGATTTCTATGACATAGTACTGTGCCTTCTTTTTATAGTTCCTGGAAAATTAGACTCCTTTGAGGCTGTCACATCCACTGTTTCTTTGGGAGATCTGATTTTGAAGGCCAATGAGAATAAGACTGTCTGGGTTCTGTCCTTACCATTCTAGAAATAAGGAACAATTTTTAAGGGGAAAATGGCCACACTGAAATGCTGAAGCCAATCAGCTGGTGAGGTGTTGCTTGTGTCATCCCTTCCTACCTTGAAGGGGCCCATCCTAAGAAGACAGGTTGGCTGTAGTTTTCCAGTGATTCTAATGGAGAGATTTTTCATCTAATACAACACACATGAACTTCATCTAATGTGAGGAGACTTCAGGGCTAGACCTATCCATATCATACTTTAATTTTCTCCAAATAATTTCCTGATGCTATTATACATGTTATTTTAAAATTTGCACTTCTGATTGTTGCTGACAGAAATAAAAGTGATTTTGTATCTAGTAACACTGCTAAATTCTCTTGTGAATTCTAATCTGTTTCAAATTAACAATTACATGAACTTCAAACAATGTTTTTGTTTTCTTTTCCCTCCCTTCTAATTCTTATAGTTTTAATTTTGTTTTTTATTTTGCTTTATTTTGTACATGGGACCATAGTACAATACTATATGAGTTAGGGAACAGTGGGCTTCTTTATTTTATACTTGAGCTCAAAGAGCAAGCTTTTAGCCCTTCATCATGAATATCAAGTTGAGAAATTTCCCTTCTACATTTAGGATGCCTTGTAGTTTCCTAAATCAACCAGGTAACCTCAAAACCTTAACATCCCATTAACACTTGGGTAACCAATATTTGTCTTTCTGGGCAGGGATAAAATTTCTTGTCTCTCCAAAAAAAAAAAAAAAAAAAAAAAGCCGGGCGTGGTAGTACACGCCTGTAGTCCCAGCACTCGGGAGGCAGAGGCAGGCGGATCTCTGTGAGTTCAAGGCCAGCCTGGTCTACGTAGTGAGTTCCAGGACAGCTGGGGCTACAGGGAGACCCTGTCTCAAAAAGACCAAAAAAAAAAAAAATTTCCTTGTCTCTGCACAGCTCAGCTCTCCTGCCTTTCCTCCTTTGGTACCTTTGTACCAAGGTCTTCCATCCCAGCAAGCTTCACTGCTATACCTACTTCCAGCCATGGACTGCTTCCTGGCTTACCAGCTCCTGGTCTATAGATTATAGATGTCTCTGTCAGAAGGAATGACAGAATCCTCCCCTGACCACTGGAAGCTACTTCTATCAGCAGATCAGTCTGAACTAGGTCAAGCTTTCTATGAAACTAGGATCAGCTTTACTTACTCACCTGAGTGGCCACTTTCCAGGCTTTGGCTCTCTGCAGTTCCCTGTTCATCCTGGACCCATGGGTCTTCTCCTCGTTCCAGCTGGGAAATCACAACAGGCTTGGATCCTGGAAGTCCTGTTTAGGGGAAGGGAAGCCTTTTGGTTATACATCATTTACTACCACACTCCCTTAGTCCATGCCACATTCTGGGACATGAAGATGGACAGAACTTTCTGTTGGAGCTGAATACCTACAGGTGAGCAAGCCTCAGGATCAACCTGCTGAATCTCCCACCTCCCACCAGCTGCTTCCCTTGGGAAGCCTGCATCCCAGTCTAGCACACATAGACACACAGATGAAGCCTGTGGAGAAGCCTTACCCAGTGAGACCACATTCCCATAGGTCTCCATCATCACATTTCGGTAGAGGCCCCTCTGAGCAGGGCCCAGGCGGGCCCATTCCTCCTGAGAGAGGAGAATAGCCACATCCTCGAACGTCACTTTTGCCTGGAATGACATGGGCTTTGGGTAACTCCACATCTGCCAGGAAAGGGTATACATATGACATAGGAGGCTGGGGAGTACCCTGAGAGCCAAACGGTATCAACAGGAAGTGACAGAGTTCAGGGGCTACAGTGATATACTAGCTGCTTAGGCACAAAAGGAACTACAGGGGCTTTGGCTAAGCACTGCATAGCTTTTGGCACCACTCACCTGGGGTGCTGCTGGCAAGGGCAGAAGCCCGGTTGCTGCCATCACCTGGTTTTCTGGGCCTGTGAGGACAACCGGAATCAGAGGATCCTATGGGACTAAGAAAGAAGAGAGAAGACATGAGAGTCTGGGATATGACATACTCCTTTGAGGGAGTCATACAGATGACATGGTTTAAGAAGCAAGCAATACTCAGCACAGGCCTGGTACAGGGTTAGATGCTGCTGGACAAGGTAATATTACCTGATCTGATTATATTCACACACTGGGAAAACTACTGGATAACACTAGGCTGTTAACATGTGTCTGACAAAAAGGGAGAAGGGAAAAGACTGCCTGCTGGAGTTACTCTTGGAAAATCTTAAAACTAAAAGGTGGCATCAGGTCTCTAGCTAGGGATGACCTTTACTATTGTCTAGTAAAAAGAATATCACCGGGCTGGAGAGATGGCTCAGCAGTTAAGAGCACTGGTTGTTCTTGCAGAATCCTAGCACCCATATGGCAGCTAACAACTGTTCACAACTCCAGTTCCAGGGAGTTCATAACTGTTCAACTGTTCGTAACTTCAGTTCCATTCATACACATTTAAAAAAAAGGACATCACAAAGTATGGTTATAGTCTGCTAAAAAATGTACAAAATATATATTAAAAGTAGCACAACTTACTTTAAAAATTTTGCTTCCACTTCAGCAGAGGTCCAGGTCTCTTAGAACAAGCCTATGACAGGATGCAAAAACAAACAAATACCATAGCCTCAATCTAAAGCTTTCATGTTCACAAGGCAGGAAAGCAGGTTTATCTGGGATACTGGTAACTAGCCTTTAAAGAGCTGCTCATTTTCGCCAAGATTCCAAGGTAAATCCAACTCCAGATTTTGCTCTGTAAGAACACAGGAGTTCAGACAAAAAAAGGAGAATGGCATGGATCATTTTATGAAATTAAAAGAATAGTTCATAACAAGTCCTGTTAGTAATCACTGCCATAGCATTTTGGAAATGGTATCTGAGGAGCTCCATCATGAGGCTATGTCACCACTAACATCTGGGCAAACACAGACAGCACTACCTAGGGTATTACCAGTACCCATGTAAGAGTCAAAGACCTCTCACCATCAGCCAAAAAAGTGTGAGCATGAAAGGTTCATTCTTTGTGGGTTTTTTTTTTTTTTTTTTGGTCATATTCCAAGGGAATAACCCAAAATAAAAACAAGAAGATATCAATGCTCTTAGCAGTTATGATCACTTAAAGAAAATTGGAAGAGGCCACAATGTATTGGGATATGTTTTACCAAGTGGGGGTCTGGCTCTTATGATCAATGCTAGGGCAGGAACTAAAAAATGACCACCATGGCATAAGGAACTTAGAATTTGAAGTATATTATTATCTTTTTTTGTTCTGTAAGCTAAGTTTAGAAACCAATCACACTTTTTGGAATTCCTAAAGATCTTGATATGACACAACAAGCATGCCTGTTCTAGAAGACACTGTACATGGCCAAGTACTTGGACAGGAACATTCCCTAATGTCCTGGTTTGGGGTGAGATGCCAAAATATCCCCCAGAGCTTTTCCTTACTCTCTGGGTCTTTTGAAACTGCTCCTTCTTTATCTCCATAGTAGGCTCTCCAAGACAGAAACACCTTTGCAAAAAGCCACCCAAGTATAAAACTACAACACCTGCAATTTTCTCAGAGTAAAGGAACACACAGCTGGGGCTTAGTGGTAGATTACTTCCCTAGCATGGTTGAAGCCTATGTTCAATCTCTAATACCACAAGTAAGTAAATAAAATTTAAAAGTATCTCCAGTATCTCCAATTGATAGCTTTCCTATATGCCAGAGACACTTGGTCCAAGACATGAAAATTCTATTCATAATACCAACAAGAAATAAACTTTTAAAAATGTGCAGAATTCCTATGAAGAAAACTCTAAAACCTGCGCTATAACAGACAATCTGAAAAGCATACATGCTAGGTCTCAGGAATAAAGACCAGACACCACAAATCATAGCAATGCTAATTTGTCTATTTTATTTGAAGCATTAATAACACATTTTTACGGAGGGTTATAGGAGTACAGGGTCTACCAACACTAAATACTTTTACATTCATCTGGACACTCAACAAACACAGGAGCTTCTCAGGAATACTAAGAAATGAGCCAGGTGAGGAAGAAACATCACCAGTCACAGGGCCAAGGTGACAATAGTCATATAGGCCTGGGCAAAATGGACCGTTTAGAGAGTCAGGTGTGTTGACATACACCTGTCATTCTAGCACTCAGGAAGCTGAGGTAGGAAGACTTAATTTGAGACTACATAGTGAGCTCTAGGCCACCACACTAAGCTACATAGCAAGATTCTGTCTCAAAAACAACAAGAAAGATAGGAGATAGGGGAAGAATGAACAGCTCAGAAACAAAGCACAATCAAATTTGGAGGGAGATTCAAATTACTACAGTAAAGATGATTAACTCTGTGGCACTAGGGCAATGGGTTAAATATTTTGGTGAAAAATAAAATTAAATATTTACATAATCCTCAACAAACTACCACAAAAGTAGGGCAAAAACAAAAAAAAAATTTAAAAATTAAAAAAGCCAGGCTGGGTGTGGTGGCGTATGCCTTTAATCCCAGCACTCCAGAGGCAGAAGCAGGTGGATCTCTGTGAGTTCAAGGCCAGCCTGGTCTACATAGTGAGTTCCAGGACAGCTGGGGCTACAGGGAGACCCTGTTTCAAAAAGACCAAAAAAAAAAAAAAAAAAGAAGCCAGGCATGGTGGTGCATACCTTTAATCTCAGAACTCAAGAGGTAAAGGCAGGGGGATCTCTGTGAGTTTGAGGCCAGTCTGGTTTACATAGTAAGTTCCAGGCTAGCCAGGGCAATATAGTGAGACCCTGTCTCATAAAATAATAAAATAAAATGGGTAGAAAAATCACATCAAGCTGCGTTTTGAGGCACAAAATGTAATCCTTGCTGATCCTTGTAATGATGCTGAGGTAGGAAGAGGCCAGCTTGGGCTATGGAGGGAGACCTTGTCTCAAAAGTGAAAAAACAATCAGATCATCTCATATACCGAAAATATAATACATCCATTAGACTAATGAAGAAATAAAGTTTAAAAACTACATCATAAAAGAACCTGGATAAAAATATAGGCAGAAGTTTTACATTTTATGTGTGAAGAGTCTTTCTTTTAAAAATATTTTATTAGCATATATTCATTATACACAGCTTCATTATGACATTTTCATATAATGCATTTAGATCATATTCACTTCCCATTGCTCTCTTGTATCCCTCCTACTTCCACTGACCCCTTTCTTGGGAAGAACTTTCTAAACAAAATACCAAAAACAGAAAGTCTGGGAGTACAGACCTACAGATATTCAGCTTGTAAATCAAAACCTTATGTATGGGTTAGAGAGATGGCTCAGTGGTTAAGAGCACTGGCTGCTCTTGCAGAGGAGCCAGGTTTGGTTCCTAGCACCTACATGGAGGCTAATAACTGTCCCTAATTCCAGTTCCAAGGGATCTAACACCCTCCTTTGGCCTCTGAAGGCATTGCATGACATAAGACATGTGTACATACACACAGGCAAAATACTCAGACACATAAAAGATTAAAAAAATACCCCAAAATTCTTATGCATGGGCTAGGGATGTAGCTCAGTGGTAGAACACACTTGCCTAGCATTTGCAAGGCGTGGCTAGGTTAAATCCCCAGCACTACAAAAGAACTCCCTCACCTCAAACAGCTCTGGGGGGAGGGGGGATGGGTGGGAGAGACCATGAATAAGAGACCAGAAAAGGGACAGGTTCCCAATGCAAGCCTGGTCCAGAAAGCAGCCCCAAAATATAAAAAGCAAAGCTCCATTCTCTCAAAGGACAAGATAGTGGCCAAACAAAATTCACTGTGACCACATACCAGAGCTGCCTTCACTTGCATGACAGGAATTACAGGATAAGAAATTGCAAGTAAAGTGGCTGGCCCTACTGCCCATGACCCATTTGGCTGCTTTCATTTGCATGGCAGGAATTACATGGGAAATTGTATAAAGTGGCCTACCCAAACCAAATGAGCACCCCTCCTCCACTGCTATATTCAAACAGTTCTTTTTCTGCAATGTCCCCTGTTTTTTGAAGTGTACTAAATAAACATGTTTTCTTTCTAGTCTTGTCTAAAAGGTTAAGTTGTTTCAAACAAAAACAGTACCCATCCTTGCTCAAGTCCAACCAAACCAACTAATGGGAAAGGAACCTTATACACATTAAAACAACCAAAAAACTCTAGATATGGGCACAAACACAGGGAAGAATTTAGTATATGACACAGGTTCATTTTCAAATCAGCAGAAAGATAAATTATCCAATAAACTATTGGATGATGTTGGTGATGGTTATGATTTAGGGAAAAAGTAAGCTGAATTTTAACTTTACCCCATATCTAAATAAATTCCAGACAGACACAACAGTTTGGAAGTACCAGCAAAACTAGGAGACTACTTAAAAATAATCTGGAAATAGGGAAGCCCTTTAAAACATAGCACAAAGCCCCAAATCCTTAATGGAAAATTTCTGTTCATAAAACAACAATAACAACAACAATGACGACAAATTCAGTCTAATTAAAAAAATAAAAAGCAGCTGGCGTGGTGGCGAAAGCCTTTAATCCCAGGCAGATCTCTTGGCCTACATAGTGAGTTCCAGGCTATCTGGAGTTATAGAGAGACCCTGTCTAAAAAAGACCAAAAAATAAAAAAGTAAAAAACAAAACAAAAACAAACAACAACAACAGCAAAAAAAAAAAAAAACCAAAAAACAAAACCTTAAAGAAGGACAAGGCCCTTTCAATGGAGTGAGACACACTGGGAAGTGCACTTTCAACATACATGAAAATAACACCATCTGGTTATTCTAAAGATAAATACAAACTGCTAAAACAGAAGCAAAGGCTAGAGAGACAGCTCAGTGTTTAAGTGCACTGGCTGTAGAGGACCAGGGTTTGATTCCCAGGATCCACATAGTGACCCACAACCATCTGTAACTCCAATTTCAGGGATCCAACGTCCTCTTCTGGCCTCTTCCCACACTGTATGCATGTGGTGCACTTACATGCAGGCAAAATATTGATACATAAAATAACACTAAATTAATTAAAAAACACAAATGAAGAGGTTTCATCTTCAATAATATTGAGAATGGAAACTGAAGCATCCCTATGGCAAGAACGCAGGGACTGCCTTCCATCAGGGTGGGAAAGTGGCTTTTGAGGCTCTAACCTATCAGTCCCATTCCACTTGTCTCGGCCTCCTACAAGGAAACTCCCAGTATGAAAGTGATAGAACTGATGTCCAAACAGAGAGCTTGAAACAGTAGGGAGCAGAACCTAGTAGGCACAGGAGCTTCCTTTTCACATTAATAACAAAAAGATCATGCACATGTGCCAATAATTGTACTTCCAATTATTCTGGAAAGATACGCAGGAAACTATTTCCAGTGTCACTGTGCATGCACTGACATGGTGCTGGGCAAAATGCCCTTTAAGAGAATTATTGTGGGCTGTGGGCTGAGGAGATGGCTCAATGGGTAAGTGCACTCATACTTCATGTCCTTCTCCAGCCTCTGCGCGTGTCCACTTGAATATAAACATGCGCATACTCCAACCCTAAACACTGAAGAGAATTACTGCATATCATTTTCGTGTGTGTGTGTGTGTGTGTGTGTGTGTATACACTTGTGCATGTGGGCCAGGGGACAACTTCGAGTGCCTTGTTAGATTCATCACCACACGCAGGCTTCTTTACGTTGGTTCTTGGGATCAAACTCGGGTCCTCGTGCTCGACTGAGCCATCTTCTCAACCCCGCATACCACTTATTTATGAAATTTAAAAGCCAAAAGTAGAAGCTGGAGAGATGGCCCAGCGGTTAAGAGCACTGGGGGCGCTTGCAGAGGACCTGGGTTCCCTGCATCCACATGGCAGCTGACAACGATCCCTAAGTCCAGTTCCAGTGCCCTCTTCTGACCTCCGCGGGCATTGAACAGCACAGATACACACATGCAGGCAATGCGTTCATACACATAAAATAAAAATAAATAAAAGATACGTGTGAGTGTATTGCTTGCATGTACGTGAGTGCACCCGTGTCGTGCAATGTCGCGGGGGTCAGAAGAGGGCTTCAGATTCCCCTGGAACTGGAGTTAAGGGCGGTTCGCAGCCGCCACGTGGGTGCGGGGATTCGAACCCCGGCCCTCTGCAAGAGCAAGTCAGTGCTCTTAAACGCTGAGCCAGCCCATCTCTCCAGCCCAAAATATACTTTTTAAAATACCACAAGTAAACAAAGAACATGCTACCTTACGAGAAGTTGATATTCACCAAAAAGGGCTTTTGCAAAGTAACAGTGTAAAGAAAAATTGGGGAAGAAATTCGAGAGACAAGGTCATGCAGCGCACTCCCGCTTTGACAGGAAATATCCTTAGCTGCTGAGGAGGCCGCTGGGGTCTTTGCACCGCAGCTCAAGTCGCGCGTCAGACAGAAAATCCTGTAGGGTGGCCCTGACTGTGTGCCGGAGCATCGCTCGAAACCAGGAATTCCAGGTCAGCCTGGGATACGGGCCCCATGCGCTGCGCGGAGACCACCGACTCTGACCTGGGCTAGCGGGAGGCGCGAAGCGCGGTCCTGGGTGGCGAGGCCTGGAGGATCTCGGGGAAGGGGCGGAGGCGCAGCCTGGGTCAGAAGGGGGGCCGGGCCACCAGTCAGTGGACGGCTGCGTCCGTATACGGACGCCCAGCTCGGGTGCGGGAGCATAGGAGGGTCCCGCGCACAGCCAACAGAACCCCACTCACCATCCGCAGCAACGTCTTGCCAAGGGGCGGCTGCCGCAGCGCCCTAAAACAAAGGGGCTGTCCCGCCCCGTCTGCGCAGTCGCCAATCCTGGGGCGACCCGCCCCTCAGACCCCGCCCCGCCCCCAAACGGCCAATCCTGGAGCAGACGCCTGCGGGCCGGTCATCTGCCCGTCTCCCTCCTGCTGCCTTTCTGGTGAGGGAACCCTCAGCTGGGCTGTGGAGTCATCGAGAGTGGAGTCCTCAGAGGTGCCTAGAGCGACCACGCTGCGCTTGGACTGCGCCTGCGCTCCGGGTCGTGGCGGAAGCGGGCGCGAGGCTAGGTACTTGAGGCCGTCCTTGGGCCACTTCCGCAGAGCTTGTGTCTGCCGTCTAGCGGTTGCCCTGGTGGTCAACCGGTTCCTGACCGGTTCCTGCTGGTGCTTCAGTCTGTCATTTCCTTTCACCGTAGCACGTCTAAGTCGTTTGCTTGGGGACGTACGTAGTTGTTTCCTGCCGAAGATGAGCTCTGTGAGGTGCAGACGGCTGTCTCTAGCTCCTCTATGTGTCCGGCCCTGACTGGACTTTACGGATTTGGCACAAGTGTTGAAGTTCCCCTTCGGGGAAGTGGTGGGCCACATCAGGCCCGGGTGCCCTAACTCTAGGAGAGGCTTGGACACAGGTGTGCACGGCGATGATCAGTCAGGTTGGAGTCGGTTCTAGTCTGCCTTTATCTCAGTTTCCTGAAGGCCTCGTGTGCCCTAAACCGCGGGGGCCGGGTTAGAGGTGACAGGTAGGGCTTGTGACTATGGAGTTGGAGAACGCCTGATGAGCGGGGAGCTGAGGCAGGAATTGGAGAGGATGTGCAGCAGTTCTGTGTTTACTACGTGCCACTAAGTGCCAAGTCCTGTGCTCATGCCCCCATGAGACTGTGGGCAAGGATCCCTGGTTCCTTAAGTAACAAGATGAAAGGCCTTAACTTTTCATGTCGGTTTTTTTTTTTTTTTTTGTCTTTTTGAGACAGGGTCTCTCTGTAGCCCCATCTGGCCTGGAGCTCACTATGTAGACCGGACTGGCCCTGAACTAACAGAGATCTGCCTGCCTCTGCCTCCCTGGGATTAAAGGCGTATGCCACCACCGCTGGCAATATTTGTACTCTTAAATGTTCTCTTGCCAAGGGAAGTAGGAAAAAAGGAAGAACAAATAGTCACTAGTACACAGACACCTGACCAATATAGTCCACCTGGGGCCTGCCATATATTTGCCTTGACATTATCCCATGCCTCTCAGAGATGAGAAAAGTTAGACCTTCATCTTAAAGATGCTGACTTTCAGGTCAGCATCAGGTGTGGGAGTTTGGTTTCTGTAATTTGAGGACCCCCACCATTGGGTTCTCTGGGTGGTGGTAGTCTAGTAAAATCTTTGATCTAGGCATGTTAGGTTTCCTACAGAGACATTGCCTCCCCATCAGGCAATGTAGTTTTTTCCAGTAATTGAGGTTTTAAGAAACCAAATCCTGGTAGGATGAGAGTACCTTGTTTCATCATAGGGCTCTAGGGCATTTAATTCTCTAGCCTCTCATGGCCATTGGTCTCCCATATTGGTTCCCACACATACATCGTAAGAGGAAATGTTAAGGGACTGGGCTATGGTCTATGCAAGGCCAGAAACAGGTTTCTTGTTGTGTCAGAAAGAGGAGGTGAACTACTTTCTATGTCTTCATAGAAGGAATGAAAGACCTCATGAGATGAAGCTCAGTGGGTGACTGTGATTTGTGGCATAGACTGTCCTGGGAAAGACAGACCATGGACATCAGATGTCTTCTTCCCAAGTTTGGTTGCACCTGCTTTCCTAGGATTATCACAGGGAAACTTGTTGGCTGGTATGCCCCCAAGAAAGGAGGGTCAGGGAGAATCAGTCATGCCTCCCAACCAACCAGTTGGTCCTAGTTGCACAAGGGGGAGGGACTAAGGGTACAGAAGGTGAGGAAGCCCATAGAGAGGGGCTCTCACCATTTTGTGCAGCCGTGGGGTGTCACATCCATGCCTGGACGGAGACTTTCCAGTGCAGTCTTGGGGGTGCTCTTATAAGTAAACCCTCACCCACTGCTCTATAAGTAAGCCTAGTAAATTTACTGCTTTCCCAAACTGCAAGAATTGGTGGAATGGTACCTCTGTTTGTTTTAAGGGCTAAGGAAGGAGGGGGCCACACTTCATTTACACCTCCCAGAAGGAATTTTAGAAACATGACCCTTTGAAATATGATATGGTACTGGAGATATGTCTCATCCTTCTATGTCAAGTGTTTCGGATCAAGGATAGGAAAATTAATGGGGCTACAGGCTCCCAAGTTACAGCTGGATGAAACAACACCCTTTAGCAGACCGATGTTTATCCTTCCAGGTGGCTTATGAAACACAGTCCTAGGAAGGGCAGTAAGCTCAGTGGTCACCATAACATGCAAATGGGAGCAAAGTGTGTTCACCCATGTATTTATCATTGATCCTGTATTCTTGTTCTCATGATAGACTTCTACATTTGGTGATCCGTGAAGGGTTATTACCTATGGCTGCACACAGATAAAAAAGTACTGACACTAGCTGGTAGGGATTAATAATCTGGGTTCAGTTAATTAAATGAGCCCCCTTGGGAGCACAAGACTGCTAATCACTCCTCACTTGCAGGGTTACTGTGGGTTGAAACAGTATATAGATTGTTCTGCTGGCAGATGAAGTAGGTGGCCTCATTGTGCCTAAAGGTTCAAAGAAATGGGTATGACAAAATAGGGTTTTGGTCACAACTCGGCCACTTCATATGGTGTGAATGTATGCATGGGTCATAGGAGTGTGGCTTTGGAACCACTTTTGAAAGGGAACCAGATAAAGAGTAACAGATAAGAGTTACACATTCTGTCCAGAAAGGTAAAGACATGCTATCAGAAGTCTTTGACTGCAAGTCCAATCAATAGGAGTTAGTTCTGGACTGGAGAGATGGCTTAGCAGTTAAGAGCGTTGACTGCTCTTGTAGAGGACCTGGGTTCTGTTTCCAGGACCCGCATGGCTGCTAACAACCATCCATAGCTTCAGTTCCAGGGACTCTGATGCCCTCTTCTGACTTCTGCAGGCACTGCATGATACTGGTGCACTTACATACATGCAAATAAAACACTCATACACATAAAAGAGTAATAATAAAATATTTTTTAAAGAGTAGGGGTTAGCTGAGACCAATCCCACAGAAAGTGCTAGGGCAAGAAGCACAGCAACAAAGGCAAGGGATAACAATAAGCACGTTAGAAGAGTCAAAACCAGTTAATTTATTCTTCAGATGATTGACTAGACGCTTCCTCAGGCTTCTGCGATATGTAGACTGGTCAGCTTGCTGAGTGACCAAAGCAGGGTGTAGTCCTCTGGTCATTCTGGGTTCTCTGGGGTCACTCTGGAGTCACCCAGATCATCAGCTTATATGGTGCTGAAGAGTTAAAAACACATTCCCAGTCACAGGAACTGGTTTCACCCTGCTATGGTGGATCTAGGGAATCACCCCAGCTACCTTAACTGCAGTTAAGAGTGGATAAAGCATCAGTGAAACTGCTTCATAGAGCCTTTAAGGGCTGCACATTCCTTTACCCACATTGTATCCTCTAGCTTAAAGGGATGGACATTAGTAATTAAGCTCACATGCAGCCACCCCCTGACACAATGATGTATGGTGGTGGCCAGGGCAGAGCCAAGGGCCTGCATTTGTTACCCAGTTTATTTAGGTCTCCCCATATCCCCCTAACTCTTTGTGGAGGACACCCAAAAAGAATTTCATAAGGCCAAGTGTGGTGGTGCATGCCTTTAATTTCAGCACTTTGGAGGCAGAACCAGGCAGTCTACATAGTTCCAGGCCAGCTGGGCCTACAGGGAGACCCTGTCTTAAAAAACAAAAACAAAACAAAACAAAAAACAAACGAAAACAAAACAAAAAAAAGAATTTCATAAGGTGAGACCCCTGTCTATCTAGTTGGAGTAGATATAATTCTCAGTAAATCAACTGGCAACAATTGGTCCCAGTGTGAGTCTTGACAGTTTGCTTAGTTGTAGTTTTAGAGTTTAGTTCATGTGTTCTACTTTTCTGGAACTCTGTGGGTAGTAAACTGTGTGCCGCCTTCAAGTAATTTTTGTTTTGCTTCGTTTGTTTTTGAGATAGGGTCTCCCTGTAGCTTCAGTTGGCCTAGAAGTCGCAATGTAAACCAGGCTGGCCTTGATCTCACAGAGATCTGTCTGCCTCTTCCTCCCTAAAGGCCTATGCCATTATACCCTGCTCTTCAAAGTAATTTTTAACCCTTTAGCCAACAGCTACGCCATCTAAGTCACAAACACTGGCCCACTGTCTGATCCTATAGTGATAGGAATTCCCCACCTGGGAATAATTTCTTTTTTAAAAATATTTTATTTACTTTTATTTTATGTGTATGAATGTTATGCCTGCATGTAGGTAAGTGTACCTGTGTCATGTGATGCCCGCGGCAGACAGGAGAGGCTTTTGGATCCCCTGGAACTGGAGTTATGGAGAGTTGTTAGCTGCCATGTGGGTGCTGGGATTCGAACCTGGTCTTCTGCAAGAACAGTCAGTGAGTCAGTGTTCTTAACCGCTGAGCCACTAGCCTGACAAAGTATACACAAAACCCCCAACAGGTATTTATAGCCCTGGGTTTGGGGAAGTTCAGTAAAATAAACAATTTTTTTTTTTTTTTTTTTTTTTTTTTTTTTTTTTTTTTTTTTTTCCGTCTTTTTTTGAGACAGGGTCTCCCTGCC